ATTTTCGAAATTATTTAATGGGTCGACTAACTAGTAAAATATGATCGTTTTTAACTGTCCAGTATTAACAACCTATAAAAATTGCAAATAATACTGGATCATGGTAGAGACAGTTACATCATTTTCTGCTTATATAAACACACATTTGGGCATTAAAAAATTACTACAAAATACGAAATTGTATATTCGTATTCAGAAAAATATTATACTAAATTTTACATATTTTTTGGAGTAAACTTGAGAGTTCTGAAAACTGTTTGTAATTGCTACACAATTGGTTTATTTGATCATTGTATCCTGTAAGTGATTGTCCCAGAGATCGTAGCAGTTATCGACGGACAACTTCGCTTTAGGACATTTTGCTATCACGAGACTCGATCTGTCGATAAGTTTTAATTCTATACTTTACTATATTGCAACTAGGAATATTTTAACAATATGTACGTTCCCTTTCACATTAACTTTGACACTCTTTCACATGACATCCATCAAAGCCATTATTTTTATAACACCCTATCATATCACTGTCCAGATTTGGCACATATGGGAAATGTCGAGGAGAATGTAAACATCCTTGTATACAATGCTTAATCCATACATAGAAATGTGCCTGACACAAAAAGCAGAATGGTCAATATCAGAATCTCAAAAAAGAATTAAGCTACTTTGCTAGAAAATGTTGAATCCTAGTTGACAAATGTATTGGTGGCAGGAAATAATTGAATGTAAAAATTGATCATTTTTTAAAACAATCTAATAACATAATATCATGTGACATTCTGTCAAAAAAGATACCAAAGTTTTCTGACAATATAACATGGTTGCTCAAAAAAGCTTGATGAGCACTGCATCAATGGTCAATTACTAGCTACTTAAGCTAATAAATTTTTTGATACATCAAATATTACGTGTCCTTTTTCATTAGTCTAAGTCGATGTTATCTACTTTATCAAACCAAATTAGGACATCCTCACTTGATAAAAGTTACATCTTTGTATGTGCAGTTGCATCATAGATTCATAATCACATGACATACATGACAATACCTGAAAGGAAGCCATCTTAATTGGTAGGTATAAGAACCGGTTTAGTTGTCCATGATCACATGAGGAACCATGCCTTTTGCCTCACCAAATTTTACTATCAACGAATTTTCTCAAAGACGGTCCAAATTTTATAAAAATCCTTGTATGGGAATTATGGATTATTATTTTTAAGTTTTAATATTTTTATGGTAATTTTCAAATTAGTATCTTAGATTAGAAATTTTGTCATGGTGTAGAAGGATTTATGAATTGAAAAATTAAATTTCTCAGTTATATGTTCAATTATTGATATTCTATAGACTATATGAATCAAATAGTATAAATTTTCGATATTTTGCATGAATGAATGCAAACTAGAAGGTGGTTTGTAAATTTCGTATTTTAGTGCTACCATACACGTTACCCTTCATTTAAAATTTCATGATTTTTAAGATTTATTATAATTAATCTTTTTCTTCACTATGCTATATATTAGTAAAATATTGAATGCAATTAGATTCTTAGAGCCTGTCTGGTAGCAATTATAATGGTCCAAAAAATTCATTTTCTTACCGTTGCATATCACTTCAGCCGCAAACGTTGATCGGCCATCTCACATGTGGGCCCCACTAACGATCAGAATTTTGATTACAATTCGGCCAAAATCAGCACTAGACATGGTCTTAACCTCTGTTTGGTAGACATTTTTGTGGAGAAAGTGCATTTTTTGATTGATATGATAGGGAATATGTGATTAAAAAAATAAAAAATTATTGATGTGATGGAAATTATTATTTTATTGAAAAATATGTGATTGAAAATGAGTAAAAAAATGAAAATGAAAAACATAACGTGGCTCATACGGGGGCTTAATTTGTGTATTGCAATTAAAATCTCAAGAGGTATGTCGGTACCAAAATATCCCAACCTAATACGTGGGGCTATTTCACGTTTTGATAAATTCCCTTGTCCATTATACATTTAAAGCACAAAAAGGTGCAAGAATTGACTCAATAGATAAATACAAAACAAAGGGGTGAGCATAAATAGCAGTACCGAATTACATTTTCAATATTTGAGTTCAATTCTTCATAATAACTCTATAATAATCATGATTTCGTTCACCTTCTAATGCTTGCAATGTGTAAGTAATAATCAAACAATCAAAAATATCCACAACTCAAAGAACCCAAATTTAAAGAATAATGCTATCTAGTATGAATTGCAAGTCTATTCGTCTTAGATGTCATAAATTTTGTCGTATCGTCACTAGTCATATCCAATAAATTTACAAATACTATCAACTTATTCATCATTCATTTATATCTATTTACAAATTAAACTGTTTATATAGTCTCCCCTTAATGGAGGCTAAGAAGTTGACTTTTAACCATCAATAAACAGAGCGTGATAGTAAAGGTCCGTTTGATTGCAAATGTGAAATTTGGGTGGAAAGAAAATGAATTACAGGAAATTGAATTGTTTAGAACTTGTTTTATTGAGAATTGTAATTAATTGTGTTTGATTAGTATAATTTTTCGCCTGAAAAATGTTGAAATTTGGTGTCCGTTTGACTTCGTTTTTCATAGAAATTGTCTATTAAATTGATAATTTTTTAACCATTGAATCTAGAATTTGTTTCAAGTTAAGCGTAGCTTTCGGGGGCTCCTTTCTAAAATGCATTCACTGTTAATATTCCTCTATGATGATTACATTTTTATATATTATAATCTTTACTTCATATGCGAGCTTCCACATATATGAGTGGTCAATAAAATGATAGCATTTGTGGGGTTCATGAAATATGAGGATAAGAAATGTTTGACACGTGTTTATAGTTGAGTTATCTTGTCGATATTCCAATTAAGAATGTAATTAAGTATAAATGTTGCAATTTATTTAAACTAAGATAGAAAATTAATTTGTATTAATTACTTAATCTTCTAATGAAATAAATCTCTTACAACATAAGAAATGTTTGACACGTGCTAGACAACATAGCTCATGTTGAATTTGGAAGAACATAATCGACAATCTCAAAAGAATTGAATATGAATGCATCAAGAATCACAAATTCTATTGAGATTCAAATGGTCCGCAAAATAACCTTACTATGAAACTCTCTGCTTGAACCTATAGCTAAATCTTAATAGAATTATTTTCAACTTTTAACTAAAATAACAAAGGAAAATATTTTTTGTACATAACTATTTACACAGTGATGAGGTATCAAATGTAAGGGTCTGTTTGATTGTAAATGTGGAAAGAAAATGTTTTACAGACAATTGAATTGTCTAGAAATTGTTTTAGTGGGAATTGTAATTAATTGTGTTTAATTGGTATAATTTTTCACCTGAAAAATGTTGAATGTTTAGTGTCCGTTTGACTTCTTTTTTATGAAAATTGTTCATTAAAGTGATAATTTATTCTACCATTGAGTCTAAAAATTGTTCCAATTGCCAAACAATAAATAAATAAATAAATAAATTTTTTGAAAAAAAATTACCATACCAAATATTATTCGTTTGACTTTATTTTGCATGAAAATGGTCAATAAAAGTGATAATTTTTTTTACCATTGTATCTAAAATTTTTTTCAATTACAAAAAAAAAAAGACTGAAAAATCAATTTCCACCAAATTTTCCACAAAACCAAAAGGGTGACCGTGTTAGCCAAACCAAGAGAAATGAATTTTATGGGGAAAAAAAGTGTGTCAAGCAAAGCAAAAGTAAAAGTTTGAATTTGTTTTCAATTTTTCATGAAAATTTTGGGTGAATCATACAGGCGCTAAGGGTTATCGACACATCAAAATGTTCATTAGAGGATGTCAGTGTCAAGATTGGAAGGACATATCCTGTTTCTACATCTTTCTCATAGATTGGAGACCACTTTCGCAAGTAACCCAACTTTAGGCTGAATTCTGACCAATCAAACACAATCACGGTAGCCTACACTAATTCACTTCACCAGTGCCTTCTTACAAATTTACCGCCACCCCACCCACGTCAGTGTCCTTTGTTCTTAAAAAGGCAATTCCGCCCATTTCGAGGGGCATTTTCATCCCGATTGCACTTATATTACAAACCCATCCCCTCCATTATTAAACACAGTCACGCACACTTCAGCGCAGGAACACCATTTCACGCACACATAGAGAGAGAGAGAGAGATGAAACTGAGCGGATATTTCTTGGTCAGGCTCACTGTACTGCTAGCCGTTACTTTCACCGTCAATGCCTGCCCACCGGCAGACCGGTCAGCATTGCTAGCATTCAAGAAGCAACTCAGTGAGCCATACTTGGGCATATTCAACACATGGACTGGCACTGACTGCTGCAACGGCTGGTACGGCATCAGTTGCGACCCAGAAACTGAACGGGTCGCCGACATTTCCTTACGGGGCGAATCCGAGGACCCGATTTTTGAAAAAGCTGGTCGGTCTGGTTACATGACCGGTTCACTTTCTCCTTCCCTCTGCCAGCTCGACCGTCTCACAACCCTCGTCGTTGCCGACTGGAAAGACATCTCCAGCGAAATCCCCGCGTGCTTAACCTCACTTCCCAACCTCCGCATTATTGACCTTGTCGGAAATAAAATCTCCGGCCACATTCCGGCGGATATTGGCAAGCTGAGTCGACTCACTGTATTGAACCTGGCTAATAATCAAATATCAGGTTCGATCCCAACTTCCATCGTTAACCTCAACAGCTTAATGCACCTGGATCTCAGCAGCAACAAACTCGACGGGACGATTCCATCGGACGTCAGCAAATTATCCATGATGAGCCGTGCTTTACTGAGCCGAAACCAACTCACCGGTTCAATCCCAGTTTCTCTTTCCAAAATATATAGGCTAGCTGATCTAGATTTATCAATGAACCAAATAACGGGTACCATCCCAGCCGAGTTCGGGTCAATGCGGGTCCTCTCGACTCTAAATTTAGACAGTAACCAACTTTCAGGCGAGATACCGACAAGTTTGCTAAGTAACTCGGGTTTAAACATTCTAAATTTGAGTCGAAACTCGTTAGAAGGTTGCTTGCCCGATGTTTTTGGTCCGAAAACTTACTTCACGGCACTCGACTTATCTTACAATAATTTGAAGGGTTCGATTCCAAAATCAATGTCTTCAGCTAATTACATTGGGCACTTGGATCTTAGTCACAATCATCTTTGCGGGTCAATTCCACCAGGGTCGCCATTCGATCACCTCGATGCCTCATCATTTGCCAACAATGACTGCCTGTGTAGATCTCCATTATAACGCTCTAGTTAATTTGGCTATTTAATTATGATTTTGGGGGACTAATTTGATAATTTCTGTATTATTACAATGACTGCCTGTGTGGATCTCCATTATTACGCTCTTGTTAATTTGGCTATTTAATTATGATTTTGGGGGACTAATTTGATAATTTCTGTATTATTGCCGTAATTCTGATTTTAATATTATCCTGTCGAGTAACAGTTATGTAACAAGGAATTTTAATGTCCTTTTGATTTCGAAGTGGAAATGCCATCATTTACCACAACTTTTAGAAGTCCATTTCCTTTTGGATTCTTTAATGATTAAAATTTGTCAAATTTTCATGCACGATGCAATGTTCATGGAAGAAATCATTACTGCGTTAGAAACATTTGTAAAGACAAGTTCTCCATCATATTTTGATCAAGTTGCTTAATGAAGTGTGATAGCTTGTCGAATGGGACAAAATATACATGTTGAGATGACATAAATAAACTTGATCTTAAGCCAAATTATTAATTGTCACCTTACTTCTATCTATATTTCTACCTAAGAAGGTAACATACTTGAATGCACTTATTCATAGAAATACAATTAAGATTAGTTTTATGATAACAAATGACTTTGGTTGTGGTGGTGGAAGTAGAAGTTAAGAGTTGCGGTTACACTCTCGCTGTACACGCGCATTTCATGGAATTCAAAATTTTATCAATTTTTTTATTTGCACATTCTATCAACTTTTATCATACTAAAAATCTACATTTTAGCAAAACTAAGGGCATGTTTGATGGCTTTGATTTTCCATTTTCCCACTTTTTTGTTGTTTGATGGCAAACTTTTTTCATGGATGAGTCTCACGTGCCCTTTTTCCTTGGAATTGTGGAATTGATTTTCTTGCCTTTTTATTGACGATTTTCATATAAAACAAAGCAAAACGAATGGTATTCAGTATGGTAATTTTTTTTTAATTTTTTTAAATTTATTTTTGGCAATTAGAACAAATTCTAGACCTAATGGTAAAAAAAATTATCACTTTAATAGACAATTTTCATAAAAAACGAAATCAAACGGACACCAAACTTTCAACATTTTCCAAATGGAAAATAATATCAATCAAACACAATTAATTACAATTCCCAGTAAAACAATTCCTAGGCAAATCAATTCCCTGAAAAACATTTTATTTCTACATATTTTCCACATTTACAATCAAACGGACCCTGAACATCAATCGGCATGATTACTATGAAGTAAGACCTTTCAATATGCAAAATGCTCAATAAGCTATTCAACAGGAGGTTGACAATTACACTGATGCCTAAGTTAGTGCATGATTATATAAAAGTACATAATTAATTTCAGAGATTCCTTAAATGAATATGATCTTTTCACATATAATGTGAGAGACGTAATCACTAATATGTAGTTTCGAAGTCACTTAATCGGTTCAACATCGATTCACTTGACAATTCAAATTGGTTCTTTGGTGAGTTTTAATAATGTCGAAGTATTAATTTGCATGTTGCAACACATATCAACTATCGTAATTTCTAAAATCACCAACAAGTCTGTATCACAAGGCAGAGTTGTCATGGTTATTCAGAGCTAACAACTTTGGACACAAGGTCTTTTGTAATTCTTACAAATTATTTAGGTCCGTTTGATTGCAAATGTGGAAAATGGTTGGAAAGAAAATGAATTCCAGGGAATTGAATTGTCTAGAAATTGTTTTACTGAGAATTGCAATTAATTGTGTTTGATTGGTATACTGAAAAATGTTGAAAATTTGGTGTCCGTTTATCTTTGTTTTTCATGGAAGTTGTCAATTAAACTGATAATTTTTTTTACCATTAGCTCTAGTTTATTCCAATTGCCAAAAATAAATTTAAAAAAATTACCATACCGAATATCATTCGTTTGGCTTTGTTCTATATGGAAATTATCAATAAAAGTGATAATTTTTTTACCATCGGATCTAGAATTTGAAACAATTGTCAAAAAAAAAACCCACCTAAAAGGTGGGAAAAGAAATTCATCAAAAATCAAGAAAAAGTGCATGTGTGAAGGGAAGTGAGAAAATGATTTCCATGAAAAATTTCTTCCATAAGCTAGAAAATGGAAAATATTCGGAGAACAAATGCCATTAAACAGGTCCTTAGTGGTGTCGGTAGGAAAATTCACCATCCATTTACCAAGTCAAGGTACTAAAAAGTGTAGCAGATAAACTTGGAGTTTTGAGAAAGGTCACATGCATGGCAGGAACCAAAAGAACCAAAAGTGGAAGTATTGGGAAAGAAGAAAACATAGGTCAAGATGACGCAGCATATTTAGATAATTAGATCCCATGTGACCTGCAAAGCAACATGTTTTTGTGGACCCTACACTAAATTCCCACTGATAATGCCAATATAATACCCAACAAAAAATTAGCTTCATTTACACTTACACGGAATATTTATGTTAATCCTGTTGTGTTGATTTCACTAATGGCCAATGCATTTATATTTAGTGTCACCTTTATCGCTCAACTTTAATATGTTTCAAACTCGTCAATGAACCACTGGCGGGTGGGTCTGGGGGCAGGGTCCCCCCCCCCCACTTTGCTTCTTTTTTTTTTAAAAAAAATTTTCTATGATTTATTTCAATTTTCGAAATCATTATAAGATGTGAAAAGAAATTGAAATATTATATTCTTAATACCATTTAGAAGTGTTCACAATCTAGTTTTTTATGTCGTTAACGGCGTGCAAAATGATCGATCGTAGCAAATGTTACGACTTGTTAAAGTAGGCGGTATAAAATTAGTATTTCGAGAATTTCGATGACATGCTAACTTTAAAAATTCTCCGACGATCGTACGATAGTCGAATCTACAAATCACTTATATCATCTCAAAACTCCTTTCGAGGACTACATTATAGGCATATCGAATAGTTCAAACAGATATCGAAAATAATTAAAGATGCGTCAAACATACGTTTTAAAAAGAAGCATCTAACTTGCATTTTTTTAAAAAATAATAATTATTTCATTGACATTTATTATTTTCGTGATACAAATTTCTCAATATAATTTGTATTATTTTATTAGGAAATTTATATGGGATATGATATTAAAAAATTTCGAAATTTTACATTCGAAAAAATCATATTCCATATAAATTTTCGGATGCAAAATTATATGTGATATGATTTTTTTTTATGTAAATTTNAAATTTATATGGGATATGACATTAAAAATTTTCGAAATTTGACATCTAAAAAAGTCATATTCCATGTAAATTTTCGGTTGCAAAATTACATGGGATATAATTTTTTTGGATGTAAATTTTCTATTATAAAATTTCTCCCAACTTTTTTACCAGTTCGATTGTACCCCCCTCACTTTAATTGTCCGTGTCCGCCCCTAAAAATCATATGGAAGGATGAGTAGGCAAACAAACCCATACAAATCAACGGACCCTTTTATTTTATCAACATTCTTTTCGTAACACTATAGAACAAAATCAAGCCCCTAGAGAAGCCATGAACTGTTAATCAGTATCAGTTTTAAAAATGAGTGGATAGTACATTAGAACTTCCTAATGCACCAAGTATTCATGTTAAAACACTTCACAACACTGAGTAATGTGTGTCCAATGCTTCTTAGTATATCTAAAAGAACAAGAACAAAACTCACTACTATATCAATCTCCGTAGTATGCTACATAGATCTTCTTCAAGCTGCCCGGTAGATGAAAATCTTGGAAAATAGTCATGTTGCTTCTTCTTTGACCTTGTTTTATATCCCTTTAAATTGTAAGCAGGTACAACGGATTTTATTATTACTAGTCATTAAAGTTAATCTGAAATCAATATATGAACCGAAAACTTACATTTCAGATTCAAATCCAATATTCCAAAATCCTTCGGGGGTTGAAGGAGGAGCGTACCTATATCGATGCCTAGAAACTCCATCATGATGCTCACATTGTTTTTGCTTATTCCCAGCAGAATTATTACCCTTGTTAGGTAGAACAGCATCATAAAATTTTCTGCATTGCTTGCATTGTATACCCTTCAGACTTTCCCTCTCAGATTTCTTTCTTACCGGTTCTATGTACTTGAAACCCAATGTTCCAGCCTTTGGAGGTGACATTTGTTTCTTTTGTGGACCAGGATCAATGTTCATGTTCTGTGTCTCATCATCCGAGTCGTCAAAGTTCATTTTCTCTGGAACTGGCACAGGAAGATCATTAGTTTTCTCCTTCATAATCTTCCCAGAGTTTCCTTTCATATTCTCCAAAGGGGTGTCAAGAAAATCATCATGGGGATCAGGTCCAACTCGGCTCTGATGGGACCTGGTATCCCTCCAATAAGAAACTGGACGTTTAGTACCAGCTGGGGGGAAAGATTTTGCACTGTTTGGGCATTTTGGTGCAATGGCAACGCTTGACGTAGAAGGTGAAATGAAGTTTGGTCTTTGAATGAATACAACTCCTTTATCATCCTCCAATAATTCTTGGCCACCCTTCTGTTTCGACACTCCATTAGCAGGGTCAACGGGTTTTAAAACTATATTTCCAGCGTCTGTAATGAAGAAAATATTTTACAAAAGGTAAGAGCATTTTAAACCCTGGTAAAGAAAGAACATTGCCAAACATTTTTGAACCAAAATTATATTACTCATAGATGATAGGAGGAACAAAAAAGAAGTATCTAATGAAGATCAAGTATAGGTTCAATGAAAGCGACAAAGAGGGAGAGCACTATATTTTTCGGGCGAGTTCAATCGAAATCTCATGGACAGGATTCGATATACATGCACTAGAAGAAAGAAGCTTGCAGCTTACCATAACAAAAGAACAGAACTTACCGTGAGAAGTCACAGGACTGTGATTATGCCTCAAAATTTCACTTTCATCTCCTAATTTGTGGAGCGGGAGCATATTTTCTGGAGTAAGACCACATTTTTTGCACAGAAAGTTGTATTGAGATTTCAGCTTCTTATAAGCAGCAACAACACCACGCCTTTTCTTCTTTTCGGACAGTAATTCCAAATCCTTCGCTTCAATTTGCTGCAGTAACGTCCCATGCAATTCCATCCCCTCAGAAGACTTCTTACTTATCTCATGCAGATTTTGTTGGAGTTTATCAACTTTGTCCTCTGACTCTTCCTGTTTGGCCAGAAGCTGTTTCTTCTCCTTCTCAAACTCTTCCAATTCCTGTTCTCTTTTCAGCCTTTCCAGAGTAAAGGAATTAATCTGTTGGCGTAGCTGTTCTTGCACATTTATTTCCTCCTTCAATTCATTAATTTTTGTCCCAAGTTCTTTCTGGAGCTCATCTACGCTGTTCGCCAAACTCTCTACTTGGACTGTGAGTAGTCTTTTGTCCTTCTCATGCTTATTCAACAGCTGTTCGTTATTCATAATTTCTAAGGCTTGCATTTCAATTTTTTTCAGTAGAGTCCCTTGCAACTCCCTTACCTTATCTAACTCTTCAGTTTTTTCTCTATGTCCCTGCTGAAGCTCATCAACCTTTTTCTCCATACTTCGGAGTTTGGAAATGAGTCCATTTGCCTTCTTTTCTTGCTCCTTTAATTGCATTTCTTTATGCACTATCAGAGAGGCTTTCGATTGATTTATTTGGAGAAGCTTGTTCCGCAATTCCATTACCTCATCAACTTCCTTAGACTTCTTCATCAGCTCTAACCGCAATTTCTCAGCTTCAACCTCCACATTTTTTTGCTTTTTCAGGAGAAGGAGATTTGTCTCTTCAAGCTCTTTCCGTGTATTTTCTTGACTAAGAATGAGGGAGGCTTTTGAGTCAAGAAGCTTCTGCAAATTCTGTTGCACTTCACTCCCCTCAAGTACTTCACTAGTTTTACATTTCAATTCTTCTTGGAGCTCATGGACACAGTTGGGGTAGATGTTTTCTATACTCGTAAAGTTTGTCTTCTGCATCTTCAGAGACTGATATTCTTCGAGAACTTGCTGTTTTTCAAACTGAAGCTTTTCAATCTGGAGTAACAGATCTTGTTCCTTCTCTTTCCATGCATCTGCAGCTTCCATTGCTTCCAGATACACTTTCTGCCAGCTTTTAGATCTTGACTGAAAATTTGGAAAAAGTTGGCTGCAGAATATGTACTCTATCTGCGAAATCCTATCTTTCGCTTCCTGAATTGTGGCAACCATTATGGTACCTAGGCCAGATACATATTTTGCATCAGAACTATCAGCAAGATGCCCCAACTGCGGAGACTTCTGCAGGTTACCTTCCATCTTTCAAAAGTTATTAAAAGTGCAACGAGTGAGTTGGTGTGGCAACATTATAATCATCAGCATCGAATAGTTTTGTGTATCCGCAGGATAATTTTTTAAAAGCTACTATCAACAAGGCAATGATATAACTACATTTTTTCAACGCCAGAGCATCCACAGGTGCAGAACTTAAAAATATCAAGAGAAAAAAAAAGGAAAAACAGTAAAATGCATGAGGAATTTTTCATGAAAGCACATGAACATGTAAAACTACTAATGTCCATGTTCTGAGAATAAGTTGAAATTAGAAAGATAGGTTTGTTAACTTAGATCAGAAACCACTAAAAGAATTAGTTCTTCGGGGACGTGTCCTATTAACCAGTACTTTAAAGGGTATGAAACTTCTTTGATTTTAAAGACCACCACCCAATGCTTCTTTTCCTAAATTTCTTCGTAGTGTAGAAAGTGAAATCTTTTATAAATTTTAGATTTTTTAATATAGGAGTAATCCTTCAACGTCCATGATTGGACTGCCCTTTCATGAAACAGAGATTGTACGAAAGGGTGCATTCATTTTATTTTAAAAACGAAAAAGAGTGAAAGTTCTCATAAAAGCTCCAAAGATCCTTACAAAACTATGGAGATAAAGGTTAATGGCATCCACAGAGAGGTGATTGCAAATTTAATGGGGATTACGACGAGTAATTTTCATACCAAATATCTGTTGAAACTTAAAACAAGCTTGAATGTGATCCTAATGGTGTTTCTTTGAATTTTACTAAGTTCTTGCCATGAATGTTGCTAACATGTGAATTAACGTAATCTCTAGAAAGACTTATTAAACATAGATGATGTTTATTTATACAAGTAATAAAACCGAATGTCTAATAAATCAATCATATGTCTGCTGATTTTAACAACCTAATTCATTAAGATTTCATAATTCTTCCTCTCTGATGTGTTATTGAAACTCAATCGGGTTAATTAGTTTTTAATTTTCAATTTTTAAAGTTCACCTTTGCACATTAGTTTCTTGAGATTATCACTTTCTGCTACTTCAAACAGATCCTCTTATTTCTTCTATTCGTTTTCTGCCTTGGAACTCTGCCCACGAGTTATGCTTGTTCTCCTCAAAGAATTGCCTATGCATTTTCTCAGGTAATAAATGGAAAGTATCGTTAAATATTCAACAAAATCTATGAACTGTATTTCCAAGTACAAAATCGCAGACGCACAATTGAGATAAACCCAATACTAAACACGTGAAAAAGAATAATGACCCGTAAATAAATGTAAGAAGATAAATGATTCATTACTCAGACTAAGCCAATACAAATAGTTAAAAATTAAGCGAACAATAGAATTTAGTAAAATTAAGCTAATTCCAAGAAATTGCAATTATCTGAACTTTTGTAATCTAAGAGTACCAAAAAAAATAAAAATAAAAAACAGGAATCGCAAATACATAATAAAATTTTGCTCAAAAAATTTCCATCACAACTCGGACTAGAACCGTTTATTAACGTAAAATAAAGCTTACAGTGCATACTTCGTAACGGATCAGTATTCATCAGCTAATTCAATCTGCGTGTGCGGTGGGAGATACATTTGCTTACCAGCGGAAGTATAGAGAGAAGGAGAATGTTGGATTGGACGTCAAAAAAAGCCCTAATCTGATTTGAAGCTCCAAATGAACCACGAAAGAGTCCTCAGTTCATTTTCTCACGCGGGAATTGTTTTTCGAATAGCAGGAGTTTTTCCAGTACATTGCAATATTTGAGCTAATTTATAAAAATATACATCCCTCTTTTGTAAAAAAAAATTAGATTTTAATATAAATCAAAATCAACAATTAATTTTAATCATATATTTAATTGAATTCATAACTTCTTAATAACACATTTTATCAACTTTTATTAATATTTACTTAAAATTTAGAGGCTATTTGAGACAGTAAATTGATTAAGAACGCCTGATTAAAAAAATAAAGAAAAATTTTAGATTTGAGCAGAATATTATTTTATTGAAAAATGTATGATTAAAAAAAGAAAAATATATATTTTAAAAATAATAATATAGCTTAGTTTAATTTCCATCAAATGGGGACCTAATCAAAAGAAATATTTTTAATTTTCGTTGGGAAAGGTTGTTCTATGCTTTAGAACTCGTCAATTTTCTACTCGATAGGATCTAGTCAATCATATGCTCATGTTGGACCCGCATTAATTTTTTATTTATTTTTCTTCACATATATTATCAACCGAACACTTTCTCAATAAAATAATATTACACATAAACTCAAAAAGTCACCTTACTTTTTGTTGAAGTTGAAAATTGCATAAACAACATTCAAGCCAACTTAGAAAAAAATGAGAACTTTTATTGATAGCCACGCATGAATTACAAGTATGACTAAAAGTGTGTTACTTCTATTTTTCAAGGAAATATTTGAAATATGATGTGTAAGAACGTTTTTTGGTGGAATCCATGTCTATCGTTCATTTCCTTCCCCTCCTCCCTTTTATACGGAGAAATCTGCATGTAGCATGCTTTCCCATCTTGTCAGCTACAGTATCGATTTGGGAAGGTACATTAATGACATGTTTGGATTGGTTAATGAGCTCGGCTTGTCAGTTCATCATGAGTTTAACCTCATTGGTGGTCCCCCATCAATTAATGAATTACTTAGGATAGAAAGTTAAAGCATATGATTGGTAGATTTAGCGGACGCTGATATAAGATCACCCATATGTCTCTCACTGATTGACTGTTTGTACAATGTGTCAGAAACCAATAATCATTATGTCCCTTTAAGTCTCAATAAATATCTCAATTCGAGCCGACCTCAAATATCCAGAACTGACATTAGCATTAGCTTATCGAATATAGGAAACTGTAGTTATCGACCTCGGAGTTCGAACGTCAACACTTTTTTAATCACTCATTCCTAGAAAAATACTATTTCAAAATCAATTTTATTTTCAAATAATGGAACTCAAACAAGGCTATATCTAGCCTATGTTTAGTATCAATTTTTTCAAAACTCATTTTCAATTATATATTAACTAAAAAAATAATTTTACAAGTAAAAATGAGAAAAAAATTCTCATTTTTTAACAACGTGTTCTTCAAAAAATAACTATTCACAAATACATTTTCTTACCAAAAGGGCTCAAGCAAGGAACCTAATATCTATATATTCATCATTGCCCTCAATTCTTCGTTAGTTTACCTATTTGACTATGAAAGTCAAAAATTAAAAACAATAAAAAGATCATTTTACTATTCTAAATTAGAACATTAAAAAATAAAATATAAAATTATATAAAAAAATAAAAATAAATTTACCTTATTAACCACCCTCAACCTCACTACAACAATCATTGTCATCGCCAACCCACCACCTATCTTACTCCACACTATTGCCACTACGGAACTTCTTTGAATATGATGAAACTAGAAACTCAAATTTACATTCTTATTTTTTTATTTTTTTTATTTTTTTATTTTGCTTTTCTAATTTTTCATTTTATGTCATTTTTTAATATTTCAATTTAAAATAATGAAATGATCATTTACCCTTTTTAACTTTTCAATTTGATGGTCCAACAGGTTGGCTAATGGATAATTGGACGAAAACAATCGATTTGAATGAATGCCACCAATTTATCAAAGGTTGAGGAAGAAAGTCCAAAAGTATATAAAAGTTTGAAACATTTGCTATAATTTACCCTTTCTTGGGACGAGACGTGGTTTAGTTATGACTCCATCCCATGATTTTAGTTGATATTTAGTCAAAAAAGTTCAATAGATATTGAACATGATCTTCATTTTATTTTTAAACAATGAGAGCTTTCATTAGACTTTGGTGGAATGATAAGTGTATTTTTATACACTTTTCAGACATTAAATAGTGACATTTCATAGTTCTTTTGATAAAATATAGCTTAATTCATTGTATATTTCGTTTAATAAGTGAAAATCGATGATCGGAAGTTGAACACAAAAACCTAAATAACATCAAAATTAACCAAAATATGAACACATTGAGGGCTTGTTCGATAGAGATTAAAATCGGATTAAAATTGAAAAACTAGCCGTTATTGTTGACTTTTATTAGACGAGTGAGACCCAATAACAGCCATATTTTCAATTTTAATTAGATTTTAATCGTAAACAAACACGCTCTGAATAAAAAATCAGAAATAATATAAACCTGGAGATTTTGATTGATTATTTATAGAATTGGTAAATACAATTTTAAAGAAGAAGTAATTGAAACAACTCTAAGGCCTTGTATGGGAGGGATTAAAATCGGATTAAAATTGAAAATATAGCCGTTATTGTTGACTTTTATTAGAGGAGTGGGACCCAATAACGACCATATTTTCAATTTTAATTGGATTTTAATCCCTCCCGAACGGGGCCTTAATCTTGTATGGCCTTAGATTTTGCTTTATTTGGAGCTCGGAGGAGTTGGAATTTTCGAGTGGCTGGAATTGATTTTTCATTTTGAAATTACTGTAATCTTTATGGTTTATTGGTTGAAATTTACAGTATTTGCTTTTTAATACATATTTATCATGATTTTTAAGAATGGCCTAAAAATAAGGGTATTCGTGGAAGTTCCCTTTGCCTTTTCGGTCGAAGCCCGTTTCTAAAATTCCAGCCCATTACCAGCCCATATCTTTGAAGTAACATTAACCCAATTCCTACGGGAAAACCATTGTCAATTGGGAACAATTGAGCGTGAAGGAAAAAGGGCGACATATTCATCACCCCTTGCCACCAATTTATCTTGTGCTGTGCTGCAGTGTTTTCTACTCAACTTCTTCATCCCCATACTTTGAAGTTAGTATCGATTTTGTTAAGTGTAAAAAGGGACTTTTTATGTTGAAATCGCACTCGATCTGATTGTTGTGGACGATTTATTTTCAACTCAACTCCTTTTAATTTATTTATTTTTCCAAAATTATTGTTTCTTGATGGTAATCTTCCTCGAGCAACAATGATTTTTTGAC